AGAGAGGAAAAAGGGAAAGAAAGGAGAGTGTGGAGAAATCTCATGCAAACTGAAGGGAGATTCAGTAGAGGAAAGAGACTGAGGAGAGGAAGAGGGCAGGAAAGGGGAAATACTGGAGAATTATACTGGCCAAATTATATGGTTATAGTGTGTGCATGTATGAATATGTAACAATGAATCCCACCATTGTGTACAATTATAATTCACCAAGAAAAAATATAGATTAATAAAATAAAAAGGGGTTCTGGACTTCTGGGTTAGGAGCAAGTTATGGAAGGCCACTAGGAAATGTGTATGATAAATAAGCATTGTTTAATAAGGTTTGCTATGCAGGTCAGTGTATTCTCAAGTACTTAAAATGGTCTCCAGAGTAGTTCTCTGTCTGGCATAGGAGAGGGAGACATCTATACAGATGAAAATTTATATCCTGTTTTTAGAATAAAAGAGGAAGGCTAAAAGATTAAGTAATTCCCCTTTATTTGCAGCACACATGTTTCTTGAAGTCACAAATAGTGCCAAACTATCTACTTTGTTTTTCCTATATGCCAGTAAATGTTTTTCCTATATGCCTTTTCGGTTTAAGCCCTGGTGCCTCCTTTGCATCACTATTCTTGCACTTTGGCTCCATAATTATGTAAAATAAGGATTGTTTGAACACAAGCACTGTGATACTAAGACAATGGATCCAATAACTGAGATGGCTACTAAGTGACTAACAGGTGGGTAGCATATACAACGTGGATACACTGGACAAAGGAATGATTCAAGTCCTGGGCAGGATAGAGTTGGACAGAGCAAGATTTTTTAGGTTTACTCAGAATAGCATACAATTTAAAACCTGTAAATTGTTTACTTCTGGAATTTTCCATTTAATATTTTCAGACAACATTTGACCCCAGGTAACTGAATCTGTGAAAAGCAAAACCACAGACAAGGGGAGGACTACTATCATTGTCTTCAGCTCAAAATAATCCTTTTGCCAAAGGGCATATTTTAGAATGAGAATGTGACACTGGAACAGGTTTTGTAGGGTGAGGTCAGCATCAAAGGATCATGCTAGAAGCATGGAAGGAGGGTGATGTGGAGAGGGGATGGACTCTGGTCTCCAGTTGTAGTAGAGAATGTTCTGTGGGCATGTTTCCTCTGGTTGCTTCTCTTACTGTGAATGCAAGAAGAAGCATTCAACATGGATCTGACTCCACCATTAACAATCCCCATGCCTTTGGGACTTGATTTCCAATTGCTGAGGGTATTGCAGGGATCTATGAGATAACTGGTGTAGGTACATTGAAGAACACTGAGTACTAGATTCAAAAATAGATAATTATAGGTGTGACAGGACAGATTCCTATCCTAACCTTTTTCTTTCCCTCCTCCCTTCCTGTGGGAAGAGTCTTTGGTTGAAGCATACAAAGAAAGTCTATTTAGCATTGATAATAACTCATGTCAGTTAGGAAGCTGGGTAGTATTAACCTGTGAGAGGTGTGTTTGCCCTGAAAATTCCCTGGAAGGCTTCCATCCCTTCTTGTGAAAAACCAGCCTCTACCTCAGTGCAAAGCCTGTTCAAGGAAGGGGGCGTAACCCTTGTCCTTGGAAAGACCCACAGAGCACTCCTAGGCACATACCCACCCTGCTGAGTTGTTTATCTACAAATAACAGAAGAGATCTGCTGCACCAGGTGTCCCTGACTCAGTCAGGCTAGGTGAGGACCCATAGCAACCCCCTAGCAACCACCAATCATCATGAGACAGGGAATATACCTGGGATGCCAGTTGACCCTCCCAGTAGTTTATGGCGGTTGATAACATGTTGGGAAACCATGTAGTTCAGCACATACTCCCCTCGTAGCTTAAACCAATCAGTTCAAATGAATCCCCCTCTTGTACTAACCAATCACCCCTACTCAACCTGTTTCCGCCAGTGAATGTGCTAATCATGTTTTAGAGTTTTTTTTTTATGATTTTCCTGCAGTGTGTGATGATTTGCTAAGAGATGCTATGATGTATGTGAAGTCCCTGCCTTCCCCAAAGAGTGTATAAAACTGCTGCAAACCCTGGGCTCGGGGCCTCTCAGCGTCACCAGTTGCTCTGTGCGCTCAGAGGACAGAGTTCACAATAAACACCTCTTTGCTGCTTACATTGATCTTGGTCTCTGGTGGTCTTTTGGGGGTCCCAAATTCGAGCATAACACTTGGAGGAGGGATGGAGTGACACAGTGAGACTCCTAGTAGAACCCTAGGACTGAACCACACACCTGGAGAAAAGCAGCGATTGAGACAAGGGGTCCAGGAGAAAAGTCAAAAAGACTAGCTCCCTATTACTTGAAAGGACTAGATTAAAAAGCAGAAAGCCCCAGTGAAGGAGGTGATTCTGGGACCAGCTTCTCTACATCTGGCTGGTGAGGGTAGGGGCAGCTTGGGTCCCTCCCCCTGGGGATGGAGTGGAGGGATTTCTTCCAACCCCCAAATGTCTGTCACTTCTCAAGATTCGCATCTCCTTCTACAACCTCTGCATCCTAACGAGCTAACAAAATGTTTTTCATTTTGGCAATGAATGGTTCCAAGCACTCTTCCAAGAATCACAGATATAACTTGGTCGTTCGCAAATTTTCTTCCCAGCTGTAATTCCTGTCGTAACCTGGTTTCCCAACTGAACAAAATTCACAAGGAACGTGGAAAACAAGCAAGAATTTGCCCCTTAGTTGTATCCAAACGTCTTCTACACAGAAGATAGGCTTCTCTTTTCCCCTTTAACAGTCAGTTTTTCAATGGACTCCACTTAATACATAATTTAGGGACTCAAAAAGCAGCTGTCTTGCTAGGAAGACCAGGCTCAGCATGTGCGCCCTTGAAAGTAACAGGCCTCCTCCTGCTTCTTTCTGCACCTGACTTTGGTCCAAGAGTTTATATAGAGTACAGAACAGGCTGAGAAGCTGGAAAAGCCCAGGTCCCTGATATGAAAATCTGACCTATTTCCCCTTTTCCCATGGTTGAGGGAAATTGCAGTGGTAGGAGAGGGGACATTTTTCAGTAGGAGAAGGTCTGTGTTTTAGGCAAAATGACCTTCCATTCAAAGGTGATTTACCCATAGGTGACTCCTGCAAGCCCCAGTACACTTTGCTGGGGTGGAGAGAAGCCAGTTTGTATGCAGAAGGAGCAGCCACTGCAGGACAACGTGACGGGGAAAGAATGTGGAGAACCAGCCTGGAGTATCCCCATAGCAACTGCCACTGAAGGAGACCCCTGACCTCAGCCCCTCCTGTGAAGGGGGTTCTCCTCTGGCCCCACTGGGGCCACACATGAATTGCACTCACCTGCCTGTCTTTGGAGAGCGGTGAGGAGTGATGAGGAAGGTGTTTGGGATGGGGAGGAGGGTTAATGGCGAGGGGCTGCTGGGGAGCATGCCGGAAGGGTGTTGAGACGAGGGGTGCTCTGGATCCCTCCCTCCCACCTAGCTCCTCTCTCTGTGCCTCTTGCTGGCTCTCTCGGCTTAATAGGAAGCTTCCTTGAGGTCTCAGGACCCCAACAATTGGGGAGCCGTGGATGACAAAAACAGAAAGTCCCAGTGGAGGAGGTGATTCCTGGGACCAGCTTCTCTATATCTGGCTGGTGATGGTAGGGACAGGATGGTCCCTACCCTGAGGATGGAGTGGAGGGATTTCTTCCAACCCCCTGGATGTCTATCGCTCCTCTAGATTCTGTTCTTTCACCCACCAGTGGGGTGCAGCCTTGCCTGGGCTGTGAAGAAGAAAAAAACGATACCACATCCATGAAGTTCTGTCACCTGAAACATAGGGTGCCAACCTGTGGGCCTGACTCCTGCCCTCTCATCATGCAGCGCAGGGCTTCTCTCACACCTGTGGTTTTCTGGAGCTGTCCAGCTAGTTCCAGAGTGAGTTGGTTCCTAGACAGGCTCACAGAAGAGCTGGGATCACATTCCCAGTGAAACTGTGCCTGAGCACTCACTCCCACAGGCCTCTTAGGAGGTGCAGAGCCTGCCCTCTGGATCAGGGGGTCTGGGTGTGAGTCCTGGCTGTACCACCCCCTGTAGCCTGGGCCTTGCTGCCCCACCCTTAGGTCTAGTGGCTTTCCAAGACTCAGCTCAAAGTGTCTGTAACTCTGGAAATGTCCCCCTGATGCCCAGGGCTGAGCAGCAGGTCCTCTCTGTGTAGTGCTCAGCCCCTTCCCTAATTAAATTGCCTGCCTCCTGGGAGGGATCAAGCATGCAGTTGAGAGGAAGGGAGGGGGGGGAGGGAAAGAAGATGAGGAGAAATGGGGTGGGCCGCTGGGCTGTGGAGGTGAGCCGGTGGGGTACACTCCCCAAGAACCCCCATGTCTCTCACCTGTGCGTGGGGAGCTGCTCCCAGCCTGCCTCCTCACTCCACCACGCGCTGTAAGGGAGAGGAGCAGGGGTGAAAGGCTGCCCCTGGGCAAAGGGCCTCCACAAGAACGCAATCCTAATCCCCTCAGTTAGTTCCCCAGGCTGGAACCTGGCTCTGGTTATTTGATTCTATAAACTCCAGAGTCCCCAGTCTGTGACATTTCTTAGACACTTTGGAAAAGTCATGCAGTTCCTAATATCCCCTACAGGTTACTCTAGATAGATAAACAAATATGTGCTGAGGGGAGTGCTCTAGAAGGGCAACCTTAACTAAGACAACAGGAGGCCCAAAGGTCCTGGTGGGCTCTGGGGACCAAGCAACAGCTGTGATAGCTTCCACCACGAATGATAACACAAAGCCCAGGCATGGTCCATGCACAAAGGATTCAAAGCCCAAGCATGGTTTGTGCCTTTAATTCCTTCAGCCAGTCCTGGAAGGAAGTGATGACTACCTTCATCTCAAAGAGGCAGAAAGAGACCAAACAACCAGACGGAGGAGGCTCTGTGCATGAGTGGCAGATCCTGAACTCAAACACAGGTTCTCCTGATGTACTGCCTGCGTCCCCACTCCTGCCCAGGAACCCTGTGGGTAGGCCCCATGAGGATAAGGACAGGACTCACCTTCCCCCTCCAAGCGCTTTAACTGGCGGCTCATGGTCAGCAGGGCTCTTGAGGTCCCCCTCTGGCTCACACAGCTTGCTCCTCCATGCCCTCCTGCAGCCTGGGGTGCTTTTCTGTCCTCATGGTGACCAACCTTCCTAACTGGACCCCAATAGCAGCCAAGGCTCCTTGGTTTTACATTGAATGTGGAGGTAGGTGAAGTTTGCAAGAGCTTCAAGGAAGAAGGTGGCCAGTTCCCAGCCCATCAATCCAGCCACACACTCCTCTGCTCGGGTTTCCCTGCCAAGAGCTGCGTGGGCCTCATGTTTCAGGCATGACTTATACATGAGGGGCGCTGGAGGGGCCAGGAGCTGCAGGCTCATCTCCTGGCAATGACACCACTTGCACTCCAGCCAGGGGAGGTGTGAGTTGCATCCCAGTGTTCTTTCCCAGCATCTTGAGCCATTGACGGGGACAAGGCACCTGAGAAATTCCAGGATGCTTGTGTAAATTGCTTCTGTTTAAAAATGCAGATTCCCCAGTGAACACTGGGCATGTGAATCAGTAGGTTCACATCTGGAGGCTAGGTCTCAGGAATTGGCACCCTGGACTTGAAGCAGCAGTCCTGAGCCTACTCTGAGGAATGTCCCCAATTAAGCCACCCGTTCAGCTCAGCAGTTTTTCCCACTGCTGCCTGCAATAGGGAGGGTGAATTTGGTTGTTTTGAAAACCATCAACAGAGTTTCAGAGGGACCCTCAGAGTATGGGATTCTTAATCTGGGGACCCTGAAATTCCCAGTTGTAGATGAAATTTGTGGGTCTATTAACAGTGATAGGAAAGCCATGGCAACTTCATTTATCCTGTGCTTTAGCTGAAATTTAGCATTTTCCTCAATTATGAATGTAGACCAAAAAAAAAAAATGGGATTCTCCCCCAACAGAGGTAACATATTTTTATATCACGTTAAGCAACTGGGAATTTCTTGAAACATAATGTATTCTTATTAATACTTTGAAATTATACTAAAGACCTGGCACAAGATCCTTTTATTTAATTATTAGACAAGATGTTTAATATGATATCAATGTCTACTTCAGAATAATTGGTCTCCTTTGTAATCCTAGTATTTCATTTTATGGATTTAAAAGTCTATATTCTGAGAAAGCATCTATGGATCTTACTAGGATGCCAAAGAATTTTTGTCACACAATCAGGATTAAGCACCTGCCCCAGGGCCAGTTTTATGTGGATGCCAGGATAGACCCAGCTCCTGGCCAGGCCCAGGTGCCTCTTTGTCTGTCTTATTTGAAGGGGGTCAGGAGTAGAAGAGCCTGTCACCCTGGGCCCTTGGAGGGAGAGTGCATAAGAATTGCCTCATTGGTGACACATCAAGCTTTACAACTTTGTCTTTGTCACCTCACTTTGGTCTCTGCAGTACCTCCCTGGCCCTCAAATACAAGGAGCTTTCAGTTGCATTCCCTGGTCTCCGTGCTGTAGGACATCAGCAGCTGGCCCTTCTCCTCCCCAGGGCTCTCCTCTGTCCACATGGAGGCAACTGACCATGTAGTGGCAGGGTGACTTGGCCCACAGGAATGAGGAGCAAGATCCCTGCTGGGGTGTGGTGTACCTTCTCCTCTAAGGAGGGAGGACCCTGCTTTTCCTGATTGTCCACTGACTGAGGAGAAACGTTTTCTATGTTCCTTTCGTTTCCAGAGGGAAAGTCCCTCATGTTGAAGCACCTGACTGTCTACACTATAGAATGCACCACTTTTCTCCTTTCCTGGGATAGGACAAGCACCTACGAGGTCCAGACCCCATTCTCAGCTCTGGGGGATTCAATAGTGAATGACCCTAGCCCCTGACTTCAGGGGCTGATGTGTTTGTGTCTCAGGTGGCTAGGTTGAGCCCTTGGTGTCTGAAGAGTTGATCTAGAGATTCACAAATTTCTTCTCTCTCACAACAAAGCCTGTTTTCCACAATCATTGACAGGGAGTCAAAATTCAAGTTTGGGAGTTAAGCACAGGCCTTTTACTTTACATTTATTACTTACATCAATTCCAGCACTTCCAGAGAGTCACACACATCCAGGAAAGAGTGAAAAGGTCTCATATCAGAGAGTGTGAAAAAGAAAATGATAATGCTATTTTAAAACTGTTGTTACAGGGAGAAATCTAAACACCCCCTCTAGCTTCTCTTGCTCTTGGTTGATTTATCAGTCATTGATTTTGAGGTCTCACTGCTGAACAATATATTGTTAGTCTCCTATTAGCTTTGCTGTAGATAACACCTCCGATGTGTGGGTTATAATGATAATGGTTGCCTAGGTTACTCTTCAGGAACCTGAAGGCCATTTTTGCTGAAAACACTGACTTTTTTCAATTCAGGCTTGCAGATGGATTCGGCATCTCTGTCTTCCTATCGTATCTAGACGTCTCTCTTGCTTCCTTAACCTTTGCGTCGGATTATACTCAGCTCTTCATGTAGACATATTGATCATTTGAGAAGTGTTTTATCCAAAACTATAATATAGGTTTAACTAGATCTAGACTTGCCTAGTCTTCTCCCTGCTTCAAGGATAAAGATACCTACCAGCTGTCATGATCAGAAACATCGATCCTGAAAGGAGGGAAAAGAGGTATTGTCAAAGTTCTTGGATGATCTGCACTTATTGCCAAAAAAGACACGAATATTCTTCCCCTTTATTGCCTATCCCTCTCCCACATTATTCCTATCCTATACTGTAATCCTCAACCCCCTGGAATGGAGAAGCTGTTTTCCAAGCATGGCCTCCCTTTTCTCTACTCTTTGACTATTGAATGTAGACTTTCTTTCTCTCTAACACTTGCCTCTCTTTTTTTCCATGGGATGAGCTTCTGGAGCTGGCTTGCATAGCCCTCATTCATTCAACAGGTATGGGGCACCCTGCGCTGGGCTTGGGTCCTGCCTAGGGAGCATCCATGCTAGATCTCCCTATTCCTCACAATAGACTGGTGAGACGGTGACATTTCCATGTTTCAGACAGAGAAATTGAAACAAACAAACAAAATACAGATCAGGCCCCGGGGTGGGTCTGAGACAGAGATTAACAGAGTCCTAGTCTGGAAGTCAATATATGTGGCTTTGACTTGGATTGGCTTTTAAATCTCTGAGTGAGAGGCTGGGGATGTAGCTCAGTTGGTAGAGTGCTTGCCTTGCATGCCCAAGACCATGGGTTCAATCCTCAGTGCTACAAAAATCTTTTTTAAAAGAACCATTGCATTTGGGGCTGGGGATGTGGCTCAAGCGGTAGCGCGCTCGCCTGGCATGTGTGCGGCCCGGGTTCGATCCTTAGCACCACATACAAACAAAGATGTTGTGTCCGCCGAAAACTGAAAAATAAATATTAAAAAATTCTCTCTCTCTGTTAAAAAAAATTAAATTTAAAAAAGAACCATTGCAGTTATTTAAAAACAAACAAACAAACAAAAAAAAAAAAAAACCCAACCAAACAGCTCTGAATGACATTGGGAAGGTCACTCTGACTCCATGCTGACTCTGGGCCTTGGGGTAGACTTTAGTGGACATTGCTGGTGTCCTGTTCAGACTCCTTCTTGGGGTAAGTGTACCACCAACCAGGGATAAAGGCCAGCTGACCCCTTCTATGAAGGAGAACTCCCTTGGCTGAGTGGGGAACTCTGATCCCTGAGGTAACCTCTCCATCACTACTGGGTCAGCACGCAGCCACAGCTGACATGGAGGTCTCTGTCAAAAGGGGTGACAACTTCCTGGTGTCATTGATGCTCTAGAGCCCCCTGTGGGGTCAGGATGAAGCCAGTGACCCTTGCTTATGCCCTTCCCCTCCCTCTCTCTTGCCTTCTGAGAGCCCTCCCCCAGTTCCATCTCAGGCTCTCTACCGGGGAACCAGAACTAACGTTGTCTTTTCTGGACAAGAGGGCCAGAGTCACACGTCCTTCTGTTATAGGCTGGGGTGAGGACTAGGGGAGCTAAACAGGTGGGGATGAAGGGAACAGGGGAGATGAGGACGGGGAGGAGGGTGTTCACTTGGACCAAGGGTAGTGAGTCTGAGAAGAGGGCCTGAGCGTCCCCTGCACTGGCTCACCTGCTTAGACATGGAGTCTAAGGTGTATCTCTGAACAATAATTCTAGAACATACCTGTCACTCTACCTTTTAAGGAGTACTAGGATTCTACTGTACTCTCTTCAATCCTCAGTCACTCCAGAGAGTTAATAATAAAAGCAACAGAGTTGGCCACATAATTTGCAAGACCCACTGGGAAATGAAATGATGGGGCTCTTTGTTTAAAAAAATCAGAAAAACAATGCAGTTAAAGGTACTAAATTATAAAGCTTTTCCTTTTCTATTTAATGTCATTTTAAGAGAGTTTAGAATTCTACTGTGTCAGACTCTTGAATCACTGCCACCTGCCCTGGCAGGTGAGATACACAATAACTTGGGCATACAGCCTCCCACGAGGTAGGTGGCATAGGTCTTTCAGAGAACGAGGGGGCAGTGTACATGATACCATGCTGAGGATTTCTGTTAGAAGACAAGCTCTGTCCTTACTTGGGAGGAACTGTGGCATGGTATGTCAATGGCCCATCTCTGAGAATGAACCATATCCCTGAATAAATGTCAGGCAGTGGGGGCTGGGGTTGTGTCTCAGTGGTAGAGCGCTTGCCTAGCATGTGTGGGGGACTGGGTTCAATCCTCAAAAATGAATGAATAAAATAAAGGTCCACCAAAATTTAAAAAAAAAAATTTTAAATGTCAAGCAGGGTCTCTCTGGGGTCCAGGACAGCTTCCAAGCTCCGGGGAGAGTCTTTCTCTGCCCTGCTCTTGAGTTCATCTGATCACAATCTGCCTTTTCTTTGGGGTGATTTCAACATACCTGTAATGTGAAATTTCTTGATTTCACACATCGATAAGTTTTTTGAAAAAGGTATTTGGTTTGAGAACAGTGAAATCAAATTAGGTGGCACAAAAAAATGCTTTTTAACCTTTCATGAAATTTTCTTTTTCTTTGTTCTTAAGGCTTTAGTTGGCCAAGTGTGGT